CCCCCCCCCCCCCCCCCCCCCGCCCAGTTCAGACTTCTCCAGGCGGAACAGCGAGAAGCCCCCGTGGCCTCGTCGTCCTCCTTCCTGCCTTCCCTCCCGGGGCTCTGCTGGAAGGCTTCGTTCGATCAGGTCGGGTCGGATTTCTTCCTCACTCTCGAGCCTGGCTCTGTCCTACGAGGCTGGAACCTAGAAACCCGGGGACAGCATCCCTGAGGCTGGGTGCCAGGTGCCTGTCCCTGCCGCCTGCAGCTGTCCCTGGGGGCACCGAGCGGCTGCAAGGGACCAGCCAGGTACCAGGCGCGCAGACAAATCCCGCCGCGCTCCGGGCTCTCCCCAAAGCCCCGCGACTGCCCCGCGCCCCGCCCCTCGCGCACCCGCCGGCACCGCGCTTGCACCCGCGTCCCGGGGAGGCGGCAGCCGCGGGCGGGATTCGGGCCGGAGCGCGAAGGGATGGGGCTCATGGTTCGCCTTCGAGGCCCCTTCCACAAACGCGCACTCCAGCCCCGACTCGGCACGAACTGATACCCCAGGGGCCACCGTCAGGGCTGAGCGGAGAAGAGCGCCACGGGAACATCCAACTCACCTCCCATCCCGGGCCTGACAAAGGCTACGAACTTCTTGGGCCAGCTCAGAGTCGCGCATGCGTAAGAAGGAGCGGGGCAAGGCCGGCAGGCCTCAGCCAGCCCCGGAACTACGAATCCCAGAAGCCCCTGGGCGTGGCCAGACTCCGTTTCTCTGCAGGTGGGAGCACACGTGGCGCGGTTGGGAGAATCGAAGGAGCTGTGGTCTCTTTCCCTCTCGCGAGAGTATCGGAGCGCATCGGTGGTGTGGGATTCACCCAAGGGAGAGCGCGAACGCCAGAGAGACGGAGTCGCGTTGGTGGCGGTACCCGAGCTTTGTCTGCTCGTGGGACTGCAGCGCAGTGCTTAGGGCTGCTGAGGAGTTCAACCCTAATGACTCAACTGTAAGCTATATTACAGTATATGGCTTTCCCCATATTTTTGTCCTCCCCTAACTCATCCTTTGCCTTCCAACAATGTGATAGGTGTATTTTTGGGAACAGCAGATTGTCTACACAAACCGATGTTCGTGCATCCATAGACTGCTTTGTGATACTGGAAATTAACTTGTGTGAAATAGATGAGTTGAAAAAACTCAGCCAGTTTCAACAACTTGGAGCAACACATTCTTTGCAGCCATAGAAATTAAATTTATCACGAGAGGTTGTTTGTTCAATGGAGCATGGTTAGTCTCTAATTCTGCTCTTGCGGTAACCTACCCACCCAAACTCTAAAACACCTAAACTGCTCTTCCTTTTCTCAGTGAATTGTTTTCCCTGTCCACAAACCCATTTGCAAAAGCCAGAGCCAGAATATCCTCAACTCTTCCTTTTCACTGCCTATTTATCTCCAGGTCTTATTTACTATATTTTTAAACAACTCTCCCATTTGTCCATCTCTCTGTTCCCACTGGCATTACCTTATTTCTGGCTACCCCCATTTCACTAGGATTACACTCAGTCTCCTAAGTGATTTCCCTAACTCCAGTTATCTTTCCCAGTGGTCCATTCTCCAGACTTTCTGGCCAGTGATCATTCTGGAGCAAGAATATAATGTAACTTTACTGCTTAAAACTTTTGAAATGACTTTCAAAAACTTTGGGGAAAGATGATTTTTAGTCCCCACGAGAAGGCACCCCTTCTCTGGCTCCCATAATCTGATGTGGCTCCCATCCTTGTGTAATCCCCTCTTCTTGAGTATGAATAGGACCTGTGACTCACTGTTAAACAATTGAACACAACAAAGGTGACATGTCTAATGCTTCTTGGTTGGAGACTCCTTGCTGGCTTTGATGAAGCCAGGGTTGATGTTGGGGGGACTCACATGACAAGTCCACTATGGGTGGACTTCAACCAACAGCCAGCAAGTACCTAAACCCTGTCAGCAACCCCCTGGTGCTTGGAAGTGGATCATTGCTAGTAGAGTCTTCACATGAGAACCCAGTCCTGGCTGACACCTTAATAGCTGGCTGCAGAGGACCCAGTTAAGCTGTGCTCAGACCTCACCCGCAGATACTGGGTGATAATAAATGTATGCTGTTTTGAGCCACGAAGTATATAGTAATATTGCTATACAAAGAAAAGTTTACTTCAGTTCAGGTCATGATCCCAGGGTCCTGGGATCAAGCCCCACATTGGGCTCCCTGCTCAGCGGGAAGCCTGCCTTTCCTTCTCCCACTCCCCTTGCTTGTGTTCTTTCTCTTGCTTTGTCTCTCTCTCTCAAATAAATAAATAAAATCTTAAAAAAAAAACACCAAACATGTCTTTAAAAAAAAAAGAAAGAAAGAAAAGTTTACTAATATAGTATCCTAACATAAATGGCTAGCTCTTTTCCCAAAACCAACCCGAATATCCTTTGGAAGGAGGGAAGTTGTTAGATTGAAAAACTATTGAAAAATTGATTGGAATCCCTCTGGAAGATAGATGGCTACAGTTGGTCCTAGGAATGTGTGTGTGTGTGTGTGTGTATGTGTGTGTGTGTGTGTGTGTGTGTTGGTGTAGGTAGGGAGGTCATGACAGCAGCAATGGAAGACAGATGCTACAAGGAGACTGCAGGGAGATGCTATAGGGAGTGGGGGTGCTTTTTGGTGTTTTGTTGTGCTCCTTTCCATCTACTCCCACATTGCCCTGGGTAAGTCTTTGCCCACTCCTTTCACCATTGCACAGGGTAGCCGTAGAGCTGGGCTAGGTTTTATTTTTATTTTTTATTTTTTTTTTATTTATTTATTCGACAGAGAGAGAGACACAGCGAGAGAGGGAACACAAGCAGGGGGAGTGGGAGAGGGAGAAGCAGGCTCCCTGCTGAGCAGGGAGCCCGATGTGGGGCTCGATCCCAGGACCCCGGGATCATGACCTGAGCCGAAGGCGGACGCTTAACCAACTGAGCCACCGAGGCGCCCAGGTTTTATTGAGCTTTCTTCTACCCTGACAAACACACACTGAGCCAGGCAATTACTGTAAAAAAAAAAAAAAAAAAAAAGAGGTAGAGATAGAGAGTTTCTCTGAGGGATAAGATCATCTGGTAGGAAGAGAGTGGTAAATGCCATAGATTCTCTGCTTTTAAAATAACTCAAATCCCCCTAAGTACTCCTTGCCCTCTCTACATACAAACATATGATCTACAGCTTGGGCCCTTCCTGTGTTACCAGCTTATAACCTGGGCTTGGAGAGTGTGAGTTTACAGAGGAAAAAAAAAATACCAGAAGAACTCTCTTGCTATAAAAAGAAAATAAACTGAAAAATTTATAGAAGATAAAGCAGAATTAGTAGACCATTTAGGATAAAATATATGTATTTTAAAAAAGCTATCCTAAAAGATAAAGGAGGAGATAAGAAATATTTAGCTAGAACTTATCATAAAAACAAAACCATGTGTTAAAAATAATGGTTGAAAGAAAATATTCAATATTTTATTGAATAGCAGAATATGTAAAGCCAGAGTGAATTTTAAAGCTGGGCTCTACTCTTCATAAGATTATCAGAAAGGGATAAAAAGCTGAAAATTGTGAAAGAAATGTTAAGCAACATGGAGACTGACTAGTTATTTATATAATGAGAGTCCTAGAAAGAAAAAAGAATAAACAGATAAAATACTTTAAGAAATAATAACCAAGGATTATGGAGAAATGAAAGTTAAGGAACTTAAATCAAAAGTGGTCCTAGAAAGTCAAACAGGAAAAATATGAAAAGACACCACATATTATAATAAAATCTAACAATATAAATACTGATTTGCAACCTAGGTGGAATTTGAAACTGGTCCCCATATATGGCAAGGAGAGACTGAAGAAAGAGGCAGACTACTCCAGGCTGGTAGGCAGCAATTTTAACAAGCAAGGGAATTTATATACCAGGTTCTCTTGAGCAGCTGTTCAAGAGACAAGTTGATCTCTGCACCCACCCACCAGAATCTTTAAAGTTTCTATAGAGGCTTTAACTGGGTTCAGTCACATATTCAGTCCACACGGTCTCAATAACACATCACTCTCTCAAGGCTGCAACCCCAAAATGACTCCTACTGTGGGAATGCTGGGCAGAACATACATTTCCAAGGGCAGGGGAGGGGGTGAGGAGCCTCCCATTGCTTGGGTCTAGCTTACAGGTTAACTGGCAGTCACTCTTCATGACCTCTTACACAGTAAATAGCAAGAAATTCTAAAAACTCCCAGAGACAAAACAGATCACCTATAAAACAGAGTTCAATGCCAAATCTCCAGTGTCAAAAACAGTGCCTGGCATTTTATGGCCCTCTAATAAGTAATAATTGAATAAATAAATCTAATTGTTCACTAGTAGTACTGACTACAGAAGAAAGTGTAATGATATTTTCAAATTGTAAAAGATAGACCTTGAATCTAGAATTTTATATTTTAAATAAGTATCATGTAAATGAGTCAAAATAAGGATACTCTTATGCATACAAGACCTTGGAAATTTTCTTGGAGGATGTACATCAGCAAGAAGGAAAAGAATTCAGGGAGATGCTTTAGGATATAAAGAAAGTAAGGGCAGAAATAATTTAGTAAAGGATTTATTATCATCTTCAAGGAACAGAGATAGTGGTAAAACAAGGTGACACCAACTACATGTACATAACAATTCCACTAAAATTTTAATACCATTGAGGATGAGGTTGGGAAGTAGAAATGCACAAATGAGGTAGCTAAGTTACTTGTCTTGAGTAGAGGGAGGATATACATATTCACGAGCTTGAAAAATAGATGGGTTGGGGGGAAGAAACATAGGTGTGAGTTTTAATAAGTTAGGTACAAGTACCATGAGGGTAAAAGTAGATGTATAACATTCAAACCAGAACAAAAGAACTGATAATTATTT